ACTGTCTGGCACCTAACATCTGGCTCAGTCAGCAGGCATCCAACTACAGTACCAACACCTCCCTTTTTGAATTATTCCCAACCATCGTCGCTGCCTTTCTTTGGGTTCTCAAATGGAAACAAAATTCCATTCTCAAATTGCTTTCTTTTACTAATTGATATTTTAACCTTGTAGTTCTTATACCAAACTATTTAATGTGCTCTCCAGTTTTCAACCAGTTTTCATCCTGGTTTCCAGACTTTCTCTTCATTAATATTTAAAGGCCTCATTATGTCCTGTAGCTGGTTATCTTTTCATCTGTAAAAACTATCAACAAAAATCTGGATTCTTCACGTAGTGATTTCTCATCACTTGTTTCTAACTGGCACAGCCTTCTTAGCAGGATATCAATGTATTAATTACACTTAATTAAGAAAATGTGACTGGCTTTCAGAAGCATGCATCTGAACTAATTCTGAAATAAGCATAAAATCATTTGAATCATTGCGTTCTAGTGCTTGAATCTAGTGGTCTTTTCATCACTATTTCTGCATTGGAGTTTTAAGGTTCACTTGTTTCTTTTTGGGGTTGTGAGCCTCCTCATCCTCACCCCTTAACCCAAGCGAGTTAAGCCAAAACATATTATACTAAAATACACAAACATTCACAGAGCATCTGATTCTTGAATGTCGTTCCTTGCGAAAGTAAATCAATATGGCACACATATTTTACAGAACTTACTTGAAGAACACATGAGTATGTATTCAGACAAAAATTAATTGTGAGGGCTGTCTCTTGCTTAGTTTTGTAAATCTGGTTTTCAGGGACATGAAACTTCAGGACTGAGGTAGTTTACCTTTAAGTGACCTGCTCCTTAAACCATTCCAAGAACGCTTAATATTATTCAATTAAACAAGAGGAGATCGAGTTGGAAAAAAGCAGTTCAGACAACACAGGTCTGGGCTAAAGTGTCACAGGAAAGATGTAGGTTAAAATATCAGGAGAGACACTGCTGTTGTAATTCTGAGCAAGGTCCTCCTTCTGCTCAATTACTCTAGTAAAGTGCCCAGCTGTATAGATGGGCTCATAGTAATTTGCGTTGTAAAATAGCATTAGTCAAACAAATTAACAATTCAATCTATCTAAAGGTTGGGGAATATAACTTCTACCACCTTTAATTGCATTATGTAACAATTAATAAACCAATTAATAATTAGATAATTAAAAACACAGAGCTGACTGGAGTAAGACAACTGTTTTTGACAAATAACTGAAAAGCAGCATATAAACAGAAAATAGACAATAAAGTATCTCACACATTTCAGTTTGACAATAGATCATTGTTGTAGTCCCAAAGATTGTGCAGATTTCCCCTTTAGACTGTGAGAAAATCAAAATATAAAAAACACACCACATGTCCGGATCCACCATTTCACCAGTATGAAGGTGATGATGGTACAAAATAAAGTTTTCCGGCATAAAAACTGAGGCATGAAATGCAGTAACTTTTCCAATAAGTGAAATCTTTTATGTAAGCCATTTTAGGACATTTGTTTTTGATCTTTTTGACACAGGCCCAAGTGCTCTCTTTGAGTCAACTAGACATGTCAGTGAGTTCAAATACACTAAATGACCTTATTCCTTTCTAAACCTTACTGTTGACCCTCTGGAGAGCGCAAAAGGATGTAGTTATGTGAACAAAAACAGCACCAGATACTGCCAGACCTCCTGAAATATTGTGTTTCTTATTCCTGAAAGTCATCGAGTTTTTCTGTTCCGGACAGATGAACAAGGATTATGTTGGTCGAAATAAACCCATGATTTCTTCCACTTTAATGTAAGTAGGGTTTTATATTTTTTGCCAAATACAAAAAAAAAAGTATCATGCTGCGATAAAATCACTTGGGATGTTTCTGAAATAAAGCCAAGAGAAACAATGTGCAAACACTTGTAATGTGATTCCCAGGCAAATAATTCAATATAACTATATGACCAAGCAGTGGTCAGTACTAGTGAAATACTAGTTGTTAATGCTCTATGGCTACTAAGTTTTATTTCCCTGGATCTAAAACAAGAATGCAGCTTCAAGTCCCTTTCTATGTTAAAAAGGAAAAAAATCACCTAAAATGTTTGATTTCACTCTCTTGTTTGGTTTATCCGATCTTTTCCAGTACCCGTCACAAAAATGTGTTATTCTACACTGCCTACATAAGCCAAGGAAAACACAAGTGATCTCATTCAGCATATAAGATACAAAGTGTCCACAACTCAGACAGGCCCCTAAAAAGGGGTCTCGGTAAATACTTGCACTCAACTTCTTCGATCGTGGAGGAAGAACATGTAATACGAGAGTTTCATCATTGAGCTCAAAGTGCCTTTGAAGCTGGTTGTCAGAGGATCAAGGATGCTAATTTCAGAGCCAGAGTAATACAGCGTCTTAAAACAAGCAATGCAATGCAATTAATTCACTGAACAGATGTTTACTACTTTACTGCAATATTAGAAAAACGAATGTTCCTTAGGAGTGACAAATCTTGTCTAAAATAGTAAGAAACATCCAGCACACAGTACTTCCAATAATTATCAAGAACTATAAAGTAACATCAGATCATATCTTTTAACCAATGTGCTTTCCAATGGGAAAGAGGTCAAATGTAAGTGGTCTCACCAAAGACATAATTGTTAGTGCCCAGGGGTATAGTGCATCATTAAACCTGGATTATGCAAACCTGGATTATGTGCCAGTTCAGACGGCCTCAAGGGTTAAAAGACAGTGATTCTAAGATACTGTACAAAAACCCACCAAAAGAGAAATCAAAATTCTGGCTGCAAGAAGCTAGTTCTCTGCTATATCCATCTCAGGCACAGCTACATCATCTGTTGTTAGCACAGTGGTATCATACCTCTCTCAGTGAGCATATAGTGGAATCAATCCCAAAACATGTTGTAGCTGTAATCACCACTGAGGGAGGACTGAGTCTCTGCTATGGGGACTTTCATTTCTTAGTATGACAGTGTATTCATGCAAGCATCTGAATTTAATTTCCTCTGTTTTAATGACTAGAAGAACGATTCTGTCTACAATTTTGCAGAATGACTTTTTCAAACAGTGTTTCTGCCTAAAAGTGTAGATTATAATTACTGTCATACTTATGGTAATTTCCCATGCATGTACTGTTGAATTCAACAGCTCTCTAGTTACAGAGTGCAAGCAGTAACATGTGAGGATAGGAATGGGGGTGGAGGCATGAAATGATTGCTTTTTATTGTTTCACAATATAAAGAATTTATAATGAGCATGATAAGAATAGCTCCAAACCAGAGGTTTATCAAGTGGGAAATAATAAAGTGTCTATTCAGTTTTACATTTTGTATTATCATCCTTTGCTGCTCAAAGCAGTTGTGTTATACATCCAAAAAAATATAAATAAGAAAAAGACAGATGCACAGATCTGGTTGCAATCCCTTTTATTTGTATTTTTTTACAGAAGAAATTAGCCTCTCCCCTTTGAAATCCTATAGTCTTCCACTCTAGATGGAAACATTTCAGCAAGGCTTTGATCTTCAAAAGGGAGAACAACAAACATTCATAATGACTAAATCTGTACCTGAAGATTCACTAGAACAAGAAAAGAAAATGCTAATTATACATATAATCCCACGTATTAATATAGTGCCAAGGCATCCCATAGCACTCTATATACTGTATAGGACAGCACCTGCTTCATCCACCACAGAAATGCAATGGCACCCATGTGGGGGACACTAAGCAACCATTTCATACCAACAGCTCCGCTATTCTACAGAGAAGTGAGAATTTACTTCACCAGTGGAGGTTTGGAGGAAGTTGAAGTAGGCCAGATTTTTGTAAACTTCTAAGAGTGGAATTCAGCTTGGAGGCCAGGATCAACACTCCTATTCTTACAAACCATTCCCAGGAATCTTTATATAATAACCAAGTAGTCAAGAACTCGTATCCAAAGAAGAATGTCCATTTTTGGCCAAACTCAAGCTTTTTGGCAGTGGGAACTAGGTGTTTGGACACCATGTTATGATGTTCACGATTCCCTTTGTCTTAACAAGGGCTCCAGAAACTGATGATACCAAACAACCCTACGATATAATAGATCCACTGCCGTACTTTACAGTGGGCTTTACAAGTGTCTTTTCAACATTACCTCCACCTTTCTATGTCAATCATAACACAGATGAGAATGTCCAGAAAGCACAATTTGTGTTTCATCTGACCTTAAGAAGAAGTTTAAATTGTAATTCGGGCATAGACACCCCTTTCTGTGGTTCGCCTTCGGAAGAGCCTTCCTCTTTGCAACCGGAACAGAAATACCAAATTCGTGCAGGTAACTCGGAATGGCAGTTTTTTGACACTTCGTACCCCGAAGATGCCAGTTTGTGTTGGAGGTCTCCAGCTACTGCCTTTGGATTTACGATTGTCTCTCAAATCTCTTGTCTCACAGCGTGTAGTGGAAAGAAAGGTACACCTGTGCTCTCCTCCTGGTGGGGTTGCCACTATATATTATATCAATTTCACTATATATACATTTAAATTTCATAAAATGGACATTACAGGCAAAGGTGGTAGAATCAGCTTTTTTTTGGAGTTGTCATCCCCCAACTTATGGAGGTCAATGACCATTTACCAACAGGCTTTGGAAATCTATCTAACCTAAACCATGATGATGCATGTTATGACTGAATGTTTTCAATGTGCTACATCCTCTTGTACCCCAGGGAAACAGGAAACCCCTGGAGACCTTGATATAGTTCCGCAGGCTTCCATGTCACTTCCAAAGAGCAGAACGTTACCATAGATTTGTTTTTGTTGGAATTTATTTAAAGAAATACTTAGAGAAGTAAATAAACGTGACCCTTGTATTTTCTGGAGTTAGTTCAATTAATTATTAATGAGAAAAACGACTGTGTTCTGTACAATATTATGACAGGGTGTTAGATTTTGCGTTAAATAATTATTACATCTTCTGTTATGTTTTGTTCCTATTTCATTGGGGGGTAATGAATAAATCAGGATGGCGTGATACTCTCACTATACTGCTGTGATTATATGCATATAAATGAGGCATTTCCCTTTTACCACAGTATACCAAGGTAGTCATATTTTTCTTTAGTTTGCCTAACAATCTTTAAATGCTTTATAAAGTACTATATTCCCTAGGCATATGACATTCACGCCAGAATAATGAATGATGCTTTATGGTTACGCTATCAGTCTGTTCCGCGTCTGGTTATTCGATTCACTCCCTGTGTAAGCGAACCGGATAGCTGTATGGCAATGTTGAAGGGCTGACCTGTTCGCAGTTGATGTACAGGAAAATCTCGCCTCCATTAGTCCCTTCGGCAGCAAAGAGACATCATCTGTACTTATTACAGCTTCATCGCGCGGGGGAACGTTTTGCACAGCACCATTTTTCTCAAGGTAAATCCCTCATAATAGTGACTGTGTTTTATTTGTGCAATCCACCTCTTAGCATTATCAATCCATTGCTTTCCTATTGTAAAACAGCCAGATCTTAGGTTGCAAGGCTCATTTTTAACAATTGTTGTTACCGTAGTTTTTTTTTTTATTAAATATATATATTTGTGTTCCCGCTTTAAGATGAGGCTTGGGAGGTCTTCGATTAACTTTCTACCCCAATTTTAAGTTTCACGCTTTCGTTTATTTTCCACCTTTTACTTGAAACATCAGATGAGCTGCTCTCATTATCGCACGCCCACCTTCGTTTTTAAGAAAACACGATGCAGGTATCTGTACCATATTGCTAGAATTTAACTAGACTGGGTATTGTTCTTTTTTCTGTATTATGATGGAGTGTTCTCTCGGAATTTAAAATGCCATTGCACAAGTTGAAGAGCAAGACAGTGAATACCATCTTTGGCGAAACACTGTTGTCCCCTGCATGGATATCCGTTCCGGAATGATATTCGACTCTTCTTTGCATCATATGAGGATACTACGCCGATAAGTTTTTGAAAAGGACATTCGGAAAATCCTTTGTGTTTTGTTTTGACACGTTTACTACTGCCCATTCAACGACAACCGTAACTTGTTGATATCCCCATGATAACAAATGGAGGCTGTTGGAGATGTCGTGTTGTTTCCAAATTACAGTTTCTCTTGTAACAGTGACATTATATAAATAGTAACTTTTATCTCCGCATTTAATTTATTTATTTTGCTTCTAACATCCAAGAACTTGTTTGCTTCTGTGTGCGTTGTAACGTTTAAATAATAATAATAATAATAATAATAATAATAATAATAATAATAATAATAATAATAATAATAATAATAATAATGCTTCACTGTGGCTACATGTATTTTTATCTGATTTGACAAGACCGTTTTTTGTGCGTTACATCCGATTTCTTTGTTATTTATTATATATATTCGTATTTGTAGGAATACTTCTAACTGCGTGTATTTGTTTTAGACTGAACAAGAGAAACGCACAGGAAAATCGTGTTCTTCGATTTCCAGTCACCACCAGGTTGGAGCTGGTTTCCAGGGAGACGGAGAACAAGAAGCTTTTAATTCCTGATCTCTTGCAACATCTAAGGATTTTCGAGAGGAACCTTCGTGTTTTTTTATTCTCTCTACCACTGCAGATGATATCTACTGTATGTGAAGCAGCAGGAAGGAGTGTAGGGTATCCCCTGTACAACTAAATCTGTGAACTGTAATGAGTAAAGACCCCCTTTGTGGGAAATGGATGGAGTTTTCTTCCATTTCTGCGCTTCTTACTAAGGTAATAATGCATTCCAATCTACCCTTTGTAATTAGTCTCTCTTTTATAATCAGAGGATAAGCATTTACTGCTGTTTGAGATTTTAGATTGTTAGCACCTCAAATTAAGGGGGGGGGGGGACAATTACGTGTGGCTACGAATTTGTGAAATAGTGCTTTTGTGAGGAACATTGTGGCATCTGTCTGATAATGTATGTGGCTTGAGTTTTGAATTGTGTTAAGAGGGTGTTAGTCGTTCCTAGTATAAATGTAATCAGCCTGAGATTTCTCAATTAATACAGTCTATTGTATGTGTTAACAAAGTGAAAAACACTCATTTTTTTAATTGTGGAGATCAAAATGTAGTGAAGATCTCTAAGGAAATCTGTTGAGAAACGGTGCTTTTTATTGTTGGGTAAAATCGGTATTTTATTCCCATTATTCACATCTTGAATTCAGCTCATATGATACAACGAGTCCGACTCATTTCTAACCAGATAACCTATTCTGTTGCTACTTCTGTTATTGTAGCTGCTCAGGATACAAATGCTGTATTCCAACATTATTTACTGCTTCATTTGTGAAATAGTCAATTAGAGCTTGGAACCCCTACTTATTGGTTGCTAAAATTTAGAGTATTTGACTGTGCTAGGCATATGATTTCAGAGGATTACCTCAAAAATGGGAAATACAAGCTTTTCCCTTTAAAAAATGTGCCTTATAAGACACCTTTATACTCCAATACCTAAATTCAGATGTTAATTTATGATGTGGATTCCGAAATTTCTGATTTTGATGTGCTAACAATGTTCCTTAACCACTAGTTTGTTTCATTACACCCCATTTAACTTACATTTTTTTCTCTAAAGAGATTTCGTTGTGCCAGCCCTTTAAGAACCTTGCAGTTTTAAAATTTTAACAAACACGCAAAAGCCCACAGCCTCTGACAAGCCGCACGACACAGGAAACAATACCACCCACACTGGACAATTCATCGTGTTGTTCCCACAGCCATTCAGTTCAATGGACAGTACATTTCTTCACATAGCTCCATTCTTCATTTACACAAAATGCATATTTGTTTCTTTTTTGGGGAGAAAGTTTTTTCCAGTGTAAAACCATTGAGCAAAAAACCTTTAAAACAAACACAACTGTGTATCTTATTTCAATAAACATCTCTGCTCGTTTTACATGCTGAAATAAATACACCACTGGAGACTTACATTTTGGCCCTGGGCCTCAGTGTGTCACTGCAAGCTTGAGTATATAGCTATTGTAGAACCTTCTTTGTGTCTTACTTCTTTATATAATGTCATTAACAACAATTCTTAAGGGCCCTTATGATATAAACATAAATCATCTATAACTGTCTGGTCAAAACTGGTCAGATACTAAGGCTTGCCAATGTGAGTGGCAAATGTAAAGTGGCCTAAAGTAATGTTTGAGCAATTTTCTTTTTTATTTGTGCTGTGTGTGAAGTTAAAAGTAAAGCTTTTCAACATCATGTTGTTATATTTGATCCTTTACTGAGGTTGTAGTCATAATTAATCAAAGGTCATAAGTGTAGTGTATCAGTGTTATAGAATTATTACTGATATCTTGAGTAAATGTTCAAACGCAGTTGTTTTGAATGCTGCACACTATTTGTATTTAAAAGAGTATGTGGTATATGTTTTGTCTCTTCTTGAACATTAGTGCAAGCAAAAAGAGAGACTAGACGTTATGTATATGTAGATGAAAATACATAGCATTTTTTGTTGTTGCAGGTTGTAGTAATCCACACTTCTGGAAGACTGTGAAAATGAATACAGAGTGAAAATGGGGAGCACCAAAGACCTAACTGGTAGCTTTCAAGTATCACTCAATGGTGGTGAAGTAATGGCAGATCCTGTTGAGGTAGCTGATGGCTCAAACTTAAGTTCTCATTATCTTAAGGGAGGCGTTAGCTGTGAAAAAAAATCTGACTCATCTCCCTTTAATGTGAACTCTGAAGTCAAGCACCTGGATGGAAGTGGCCCTTGTCAGCCCCAGGAAATGGTCAACAGTCTTGGAGAAACCTCAGAAGTCAAGGACAAGACCTCTGAGCAAACAGATCAGACCTCTGCTGTACATGTGGAAGAGTCTAGTGACATTGTACAAAGGGATACAGTTGTTACAGCAAAAGTGACAAAAGCTGCACAGGAAAATTCCAGATTGTCTGCAGCACCAGTTAAAGATCAGACAAAGAACGAGTGTAGTCCTCCACATCCCAGCCAAACCAGCAGTAAAGCAGTAGATGACAGTAACGTGACGAATCATGCACCCACATGTTCGATCAAAAAAGAAGTGATTGAAGAGATAAAATCATCTTCACACTCAAGTGATAAAGAAACAGATTCCTTGAATGAGTGTGGAAATCCAAGAGGGGACTATGCTGTCTTGTCGGATGGTTCCACTGTCATTACAAATTCAAAAGCAATTCGAAATGAAGAGCAGAGCCTAAAAAAGGCCATTGATCCAAACATTAGCCTTCCCGAAAAGGATTCTAATTATCCTGCGCACTCTGATGGCCAAAAACAAAACACGGAAGCATCTACTAAGTTCCAAATAAATGTGCAGGAAACCCAAGAAACAAAACAGATCAAGGTTCAGTCCCCACAGACGAAAGCCAGTCAGGGGGTAACCGTGAAACTTGTTATTCATAAAGACAACACTATGCAGCCTGAGCCTAAAAGTGCCGGTAATTCTTGTTCCAAAACAAAAGGGAATGAAGACAAGAGAACAGGAGAGCTGAATGTATTGCCAAATTCTGGTGTCAAAGAAAGTGGCTCCACATTAAAACCTAGTTCCGCCTTGAGCCCTTCGCAGCATGAGGAGAAGAATCAATTGAAACAGTCCGGGGGAAGTAAAATAAAAGCCCGCTGCCTTAGTGAGTCCGATGCAAAGCTCAAAGTCCATGATAACGTGTTTAGGGATAACAAAGGTCAGGCAGTAACTTCGCCAACCTATATCTCTCCTCATACCTTGTCAGCCAGCACACAACATGCGGAGATTCAGGTTAGCCTGGAAGCTCTGTGTAAGTCAGCAGCCACAAGTCCCATGACCCCTCCAGAAGGCTGCGCCGCTTTCTTTTTTCCTTATTCTACCGGGAAGGGAGCCCCACCCGGTGTTGAGGAGGTCAAGATTGCCACGAAGGATGCAGAGCTTCAGGTGGGGCACCAGGTGGAGTCGAGGTCTGTGGCCACCGCACCGATGAGCCCGCTGAGTTTAACAGCAGAAGCATCTTACCCAGAGATCCAGATAAAGGGCGTGACGGAAGATGACCAGCCGGAGCCCGTCAGAGAGGTCAGATGGGACGAGAAGGGCATGACCTGGGAAGTGTATGGAGCCGCCATGGAGGTGGAGGTCCTGGGAATGGCCATCCAAAAGCACCTGGAAAAGCAAATCGAGGAGCACGGGAAGCCGCCCCCTCTCCTGCCTCTTGCGGCCACCCCCAACACCGCGGTGAACAGGATGGGTTCGCTCAAGGGCCCCGTCAAGGCCTTGCCGGAGAAGAGGCAGCACCGCAACCCCTTCCGCGTGGTGCTGCAGAACATCCGGCGTCCGCGCTGCTGTGCCAGGGCCAGCACCATCGAGTGACACCGAGGGGCAGCTCAGCCTGCACCCCCCCCCCCCATACACAAACACACACACTCCTCCCACACCCGCAGAGCAGGCCACACCGCGATCATGCATGGTTCGTAGTGATCAGACTTTATCAGGCCTACTACCAGACAAGAAGAAGAGTCGCACAATCAATTGCAATCCACCTGAACACGAACACCTGCGTCGACGATGGCGGTGGTTTTGAAACTACAGATTTCACCGGGAATTTCGTTATACAGCTTCACTTCATACCTAAGTGAAATATATACAGATATGGATCAAAGAGGACAAATTCTGGCATACCCATGCTAGTATTCAGACACAAAGAATATTTATTTCTTTCTGGTTCTAACACTTTACTAGTTGTATTTGTTTTATGTATTTATTATCCCTTTTTTTATTCTGTCATTTAATGTCCAGTGCACTTAAGCGAAACATCAAATTGCATTAGCAACAGCAGTATTAAAGCTTAATGTTTTTTTAGCATAGTATCTTGTAGAATTAATGGCTGTTTTACACGATACTTTCAACCTAAGCCAGTACTATGTTTATATATGCCACTGAACAGTGCTCTTTTTGAAGGTAGCCTTTCCAGAACATAGAGAAACAATAGCTATGATTTCTCTTTTTGCGCTTACTTATATTGTACATTCTGCCTTTAGTTTTACATAGAATGTTTGAGTTAAGTATTACGTACTGTTTATTAACAAATTTATTAGATTCCAAGTCTTTTTATAATCTTAATGTTCATTTTAATTTTTTTAAGGATTCTTGGAGATTTATGATTCAGCTATTTAGACTTTTTAAAGTCTTTTCTTATTTAGTTCCTATTACCGCTGAGTTTGGCAAGGCCAATGGCCCTCTGATATGGCCAGACTTTAATCAGCGTCCAGTAGGAATAAAGACACAGTAATTTCGATCAATTGGGATTTTGTATGTGGAAAAACAAGGCAAAACCTGCACATTTATCACTGTGCATATGCTTTAGGAGTGTAGCCAGTTGTGGATATCATTAATGGCATTAAGAATACACGCCAGGGTATCACCAAATCTTTTGAAGGAACAGGTAGGAAACTAATTCCTTCATAAGGGATTCTTCAGCAAAGACATTTTAAAAATCACTGCTCTCCAATTCGTTTTGCCTAATCAGTCTCCAAGGAGGATCATCATTATGATCGTGGGTCACTTTCCGCAGTCATTTAAACTGAGAAAAAAATGTACTGACACTTGCAGTAAGAGGCTTCACTCAACAATTAAAGCTTGAAGAGCTATTCACATCCATTGTGTGAATGATAAAATTCACATCGGACTGCACATTTAACACTGATGCATCGCAACGGAAGAGGATTCCTTTCATATTTTATTATATGAGCTGTGTAAGTGAACTTTAAATGTTAATTATGTTTTTTTATTATTTCTGTTGGAGGCAAACACTTTATTTAATACGAGATTCTATGGAGAATATTCCTGTGTCTTGGCAGATTTAACTCTCTCTTTTTCTTAAAGCTTATTGTCTTGAGTTTATATTTACCAGTCTCTTACTTCGTAAGGAGTATGTGGGTTCTCTTTTGTATTTAAAACAGTTATCTGCATTTCACTGCTCTTAGTAGATTGAAGTTATGTTGTACCTGCTTATGAAAGACACTGTCCTAAGTGCTTTGTGATGCAGCTCTGGTCCTTTCATGTTGAGGTATTGCTTTAGTTTCTTATAGCTGTTACAAAACAGACTCTTTAATTTTTTTACATAAAAGCTTAACTACTGGTTCAGTGTTCTGAGTATCTGAAATCTTTCAGCAATGGTGGCTTCAATCCAGTATATTTTATAATTAAGTCCTTTACTTCTTAATCTTCATGGGTAAAACACATGTATTGTAGTGGCCAAATGAGAGCCAGCTTTAAGACACTGTACATCTGTATTATTTTTTCCATTTTTTTTAAATTGATGTGATATCAAATCATACTTAGTCTAACTTAAATGTAAGATGGGGGATGGTAGTACGGCTAACTCAACCGAATCGCTAAAACTGTAGTTAAACCTCAGAATCTGGTGTTGCAAGTTTTTCCATTAACAGTTACTGTACATTGTTGGCTATTTGGAGACTACGGGGAAAGCATTTGTATTTCTGAAAATATGTTTTGCAAATTTAAGTTACTCTCTGTTAAATAAACAGATAAGCACATGGACTGCAGTTCAGTGTGATTGATTTAACCAGAAAACTATGGTTCGATGTGCATCCTGTTGTTGACTTGTTGAATGTTGCTACCACATTATCACTGGATGGGGAAGCCTGTGAGGCTTGTGTCTTCTGATGTTTGCTTTAGTTGAATTCTTAATCATTGGCAAAATGCATTCATTTTTCTATTTTGAAAATATTTTTATATTTACTTTTAAGTGTTGAAGTGGTGAATAAGCTTAGGAATTGGTATCAACCCTGCCCAGTTTGTGAGCTTCAGAACTGCTCTCATTGTGGTGTGTTGTCTGAAGTAACTGCCCCCCCGGAGAGCAAAAATGAAACACTTTGGGAGGGTATTTGATATGTCATTTCCTACCTCTGTCTGTACATGAAGGGTAAGCATGTTGAGGAGAGACTTTTTAAAAGCTTCTGTGCTGCAGCTGTTTAACACAATAAGCTAAAGTAGGGCATTTTCGAAACACATAACTGAGTGCAGAAAATACTACTGTAAACAAGCATTTCAGTAGCATCATTTAGCCCTGGAGGTTTAGAACTCAGCTGGAATGAAAACCAGCAGGCCTGGCTGCTACAAGGGGTGGTTTAGGAAGGAACTGGGCTTGGTGTACTTTCTAATCCAGGGCTCCTATCTCAGAGACATGAACACTATCGGACTGCTGTAACACAAGTGTTCCAGTCAGGTGGAGACTGCGTGATCCCCAGCACAGCTGAGATTATACAGAGAACTGACAACTAGGAAGAGAAGGGAGTGCAGAATTAAAGCAACACAGATTAGAGGGAAGTTCAAACTGTTTTTAAAGATACATTCCTCTTGATATAATTGGCTATTGCTGTAATTCGTTTTTGCCACTTAATTTCAATTGATATATAAAGAAGCATGCATGCATTGAGGCAAATAGATCACTGATAGTTTTCTAGTAATGGAAACTCCAGACATATTTCCAGACATTAAATTATTAAGCATTTGTTTGTATTTCTACATAGGCTACGTTATAAGTATTCCAAATACATTTTTGTGTCCTAGGCCAAAAAAAAAACAATTTCAATCTGTTAAGTAGATACAGATAAATCAGATGTAAATACTATATGATACAGTAGCTATTTTACAATCACTAATGTGATTAACCATAGTCATAAGCTGAATAGACTATTCTAAAAAATAAATCTGTTAGGTTAAACTCTTCAAAGCCTGTGGTTACTTTTTTTTAATGGAATGCTGCTCTGTTGAATATTGAAGAAGTATGATAAATGTCACACTTTAAGCCAAAGCTGGGCTTACTTATACCTTTTATACAGTAGGTGTACTGATAAAAATCAGAATTTCATTATTCCATTTGTAAAACCAAGAAAACTGGTGGCTTCTTTGAATGGTACAGGTTAAATGAATATCTTTATGTTGTTCATTTATGAAGCAGAGTAAGTATACTGTATACATGCTGATGTTGATTCTAATGAATCAAAAACATACAGACAACATGGAGAAGAAATGATTCTGTTACAGTAAAACAACATTCCTAACATAGATATATAATACAACAAAAGAACGTAGGTTTCAAAGGAAAACTACATGTGACTGCTTCATTTTACATCTCGACAGTACACTTGCAACAATGCATTAGCATTTTAGAGTGATTTTATTAAACAAGGGCATTATGTGCATGTTGGTACCTTTCATTACTGGGACAGCATGATTTAAAAAAAAGTATTTTTTAACTAAAGAAAGATTGCACTTAGCATACATTCATTAAGATACACCAATACCCAAGATATTTTCTCCTGTATTTCTAATTTTAACATATTTTTGATTTGACACACTTCAGCCACTGCCAGTAATAGGATTAACTACTGTATCATGCAATGCAGAGTTGATGCTGAAATCTTAAAGAGTAATCCCTGAGGTTTAAAACTCCATTTGCCTGTCCTTTGTCAGTGCCAGCAGCATTTCTAGTACTTCCCTTTACCACTACGCATTTAAAAAACTGAATTCCTAATGGTTTCCCCTTTAGACTGAGTGCAGACCTATAAAACATATCCCTCTATACCTGTCCATTACTACTGATACCCTCTTGCTTTATCAACCAGAAATTCCATCTAAACAGAATTTAATCTTGAAACTATTCAAGAGACACCAATTATAAACACATAAAAGATTCATATAAAGATATAAACTATCTCTGGAAGTGAGAACTGCATAATACATTCATAATAGGACTGGAACAGTTTCTACAATTGGAGAAAAAAACTGATTCTCAAATGCGCATATGCGCACCTACTGTATGTACATATGTGGTAAAAAAAAAAGTTAAAAATTAAAATGGGAAATTTGATTTATTCAAGAGTTCCAAATTCCGAAACAGCATGATTTTCCTTTCATTAAGTAAAACACACAGTACACACTTTGCAAATTGGTCACAAGTTTTGTTTTTTCCTGAAGGCCTACCACCCGTTGATAGTGAGTGTTTGTGAACTGTACTCACAGAGCACAATGAAATACTTCAGTCTTAGGTTATTGTCAGAACATGGAGAATTCTGAGCAATGTGTTATGCTTTCTCACATGATGGATGTACAAGTTAGGGACACGTAGTGAACTGTAAAGAGGCACAACAACTGGGTACTGCACAGTATATTTTACATGTGCCTTGTATTACATCTACGTCAGCATAAATACATTAAGGTACATAAATATATATATATAATAAGACATTTAACTGAGATCAATACTTGTCAGTTGCTGCACATTATTGGCATACGATTATTTGTAGCAGATTTGTCAGCTGGAGCAGATTAACACATTTTCCCTGCAGTTTCTTTTTCACGTCAGAGCTGAGGATAATCGTACAACTGCAGTTCGAGGCCAATCGGAGTTGTCGTGCCACTGATGACCAAAGCAAAGCTTTGAACAACGAAGAACTGTAAGATAGGGTTCAGCTTTTATCTTCTTATAAAAAAAGACAAAGAAGAAAACTCGTTGTTGTTTTTTTCAGACCGTCTACCTGACAAAAGGAAAAAAATGTCATTCAAATAGAAATCAAGAAACAATTTGCCTTTTTTTTTTCTGTTGCGTACGCTGGGGTGACATGAAAGGCTTCGTTTTGGACACAATTGTCTTTCAAACGTGATTTCTCAGAGGCAGCTTCTCAATCGAGTTTTAATCAAAATAATGGAGGGGGGGGGTAATTGCAAAGTGTGAAGACGTGCCCCAACATTCTGGTTCATTCTTTGAGATGCATCACCGGCTACTGGCTTTCTCTCTCTCACAGATCTGTGGTGTCCAGAGAGGGGTTTGTGAAAGTGTGAGTCTCCCCGTTGTCCTTCTTTCTGTGCTGAGCCAGGGCAGCTCCAAGAGGCTCAATGTAATGAGGCTCGTTAGGGTTCTCTTCATCCTCTTCTTGGATCATCTGGCCAGAAACAATGGTATACCTCACCGTCAGTATAACATAAAGGCAAGCAAATATGACAGCTGCAGTCTGCCCTTTTAGTTTTCATTTTCTAAGCAGCGCCCAAATATTGTTAAACGTTCTGCATCCCCACATCCAAACCACAATTGATAAGCAGCGTGCCTATACTTTTTCTTCTCAGGCAAGGCCAAGACTAATTTCGAACTTGAAAGTCCGCGGCATTCGTTTTCTAGGGCTCCTAGCTTAGATTCGCTGTGAACAAAGAGAGATGTTTTAAAAATTACTGAGTTACCATCATGTGCATATTCTCTTTCTCGCTCATATTAATGTCAAGGTTTTCATCCAAGGAGTCGAGACTGAAAAGAAAACAAGTGGTAGAAGAGTAAGAAAACTGTCCCACCTACAGAACAGTAGGATGCACTATTAGTAAGTTTAAGGGAAATACATTGGCTTTGTCTAACACTTGCATCATAATGAAAATGGCTTGAAATGACTTAAAATGGTAAGAAACATGGATAAGATTTATCAAATTCTATCATTTCAACTGAGCTATGTATCTCATGGAATTGTTACTAGACAAATGCTTGTTACAATATATGTTTAGTGTTAAAACAACATAAAAAAACATGTACATTTTAATTCAGTTTTCTAATTCACAATTTATACAGCAAATCAATGTTAGGGCTGAATGACCAGTCCAGATTTAAATACATAAAATATGTTCAAGGTTCAGTAAAATAAATTAAAAAAACAAGTCAACTAGGAAAACGTATGAAAAGGAACAGACAAAATGACCTCTTTACCTCACTCTGTCGATATTTGAGCCTTCTTCATCAAACCCTAAATCTGTAGCTGAATCAATGTTCAAATTTAGCACTGGATTAGCCCTAAAACAAAGTAAATGAACAGAACACATTAATTTAAACAACTCATTTCTTAACTACATCATAACTTTTGAGTTCAGTTCAAAATGAATTCTGCATTGAAAACCCTACCAGTTGAAATAGTCAAAGTCATGACAGCTAAATGGTTCATATATTAATGTAAGATTTAGGAATAGGAGGGGAAGTTGTTTCCAAATCCACAATAAGAAGATAATTAATGTAAAAAACTAAACTGAAAAAAAAAATTCCAATATGTTGTGAGAAAACATCTGATTTTATTTTCTTCAGATGATCCAGTAAACATCCATTTCTTAATAGCTTTATCCAATGCAGGGTCACAGAGGTGCTGGGGCCTATCCTGTCTAGCAATGGGAGCAAGGCAGGATACACCCTGGATGGGATGCCAGTCCATCACTAGTCACCCACAAACACAGTTATGACACGCACACACTCAAATCGGGGCCAATAGTCTAGACTCAGTTATCTTCAAAAGCAAGATCACTCATTTACTCAATGAGAAATATTCTGTACACTCACATCCACCATGAAGTGTAGTAACAGCTAATCCATCACATATACCAATCAAATCTAATTTGCTCTTTGTCAATTTCCTCGTCATTAAAATCATTGGTTCCTCATGGACAAATCCATGAAGCTAAAATGCCTTTTTATTGAACTGGTAAGCCCAGACTGGTCAGGTTTACCAGTTAGCTTTAAACCCAATGAGTAAAACCTGAGTAGAATATTGCCGTTTTTCTGCAAAGAGAAGGAGATGTTTTGAGTGGAAAGACTAGAGCAATGAAAAATGTCCAAGAAGTTTCTGTCTCCCTCTCCCTGTACAAGCGCAGACTCACTCACACACACAGACACACATACAGAACCATGTGCAGAGGAAAAGAGTTTTACAGCTCAAACTCACCCTTCCATGGTGTATTTGTTAGTCCCTGGGACCACTTGCCCAGTGTGACGGTTGTCTGCTCCCATAAATGCTGCTGATTTCACGGCGTTGGCCGCCTTCAGTTTTCTTTTATAGCTGTGAGGACCAATAAGAGCCGTCACACTTGGTATACTGCTCTGTCTTAAAAACACAACTTTGAAACTGCAGCACAACAGCTGAAGTGTACGAAAGGGTAGGTATGAGGTGCACATTATGCTCACTCGTATCCCACTGAAGAAAATAAATATAAAGACTTTTTTTACTGTTGCATGTACTGTATACAAATCCCCTCAGTTTTGGTGGCATGAAATGTGTTTGTTTTAGCTTGAAAACCTACAGTCATTTTTATAGAATACATAGTGAACCATGTTTTTCTTTACTCCCTCAATTTGACTCCAGAAACCCCGTTTTACTAAAAAACCTGCTTTGATTTTTGTGATTAATATGCCAGCTTTCTCTTCAGCCCTCCCCCACACTCTGCTTCTCTCAATCTCAGGCAACACAGCTTTCAAAAGGAAAAAGGGATTTTTTAGAATTTTTTTCTAGTTGCTAGTTACCATAGTGATGCAAAAGGCTTAGTTCTACCTTCAGCAATGAACAGCATGGTAGCTTTGTGTTAATGCTCACACTGAAATGTTGAATGCCAACTTATATTTTTATGTAAAAGGCAATACAATATGTAGAATGTTAAATATGTAGAATGCTGTTTTAATGGATTGTACAAGTTTATACCATAGGGAGGGAAAAGTAACTAAGTCCTATAATGTCTTGCAACCAAACACAGATGTGCCAGGGTTTTGTGAAAGGTTTCATGTAAAACACATTCTCAAAGTGGGAACTAAAGGTTTAAGGAGCTATGATATGAAATGATGATAGAAGAATAAATGCATCACTTTCAAGAATGTGATGAGGGAACAGTAAAAACCAAACACCTTTGACAAACCTGGGCCTAGATTGAGTTTTGACAATAATGAATCCAAACTCTTACTTTGTGAAATTCAGTTAGCGTGCTTGTTGAGGTCACTCATCCTGTTTCTTTGACACCATACTAAGTGAAAATAAAAACGTGTATTTTCCAAACGGCTGCTATGCGGGATATTGCTACTCACAGCAATAGACAATCAGTTTAACCACAGCAGCTACGGACAGTAAGGCAACTATGTACCTTGTGACCCAGCTTGTTTTTATTATTTTGTATTCACAAGTCATCTGTTACATCTTCCTCCCACCTACAATACATGTTGATATCGGCCACGTGCCTTCAAGCCTGTCACACGAAAGCAGGTCACCCCCAAGGAGAGAGCAAGGCAAGGCTCTCACTTCGTTTAGGATCTTACCTCCTCTGAGTGCAGACAAGTGTCGTGATCATGATAACTAGCAGGATGACGAAGCCAGCCGCCAAGCCAGCCACAGCATAGTACACAGGATCGATCTCTTTACTTTCCTTCTCTCCTGATTCCTTAAAAAGTAAATACAGTGTGTACAGTGCATGTAATAAACATACAGTATATAAAAGAAAGCCCTTTTCTAAAAAGACAGCTATCAGTAGTTTCAAATGGATGAACAAAGGGTGAAATTCTCTGTTTATTAGAAGGTCAATTCAATCCATGAACAGTTCGCACACCATCTATGAACTGTCTATGAACAGTCCATGAACAGTTATGTGAAAGATTTCACATCGTAGGTATATGAAAGCATCTGACAAAACAATTTGTTTCTGAATGTAAAGTATCTTTGAGGATTAACCTGGAAATGCCAGGAATTTTGAAAACCACTGTAACACGTACTCATCTGCAGGTTTGTGGGATTTTCTCCTGATTTTCGCCTATGAACACACAACCGTTTTTGTAGAGCCACCACTGTTGAGCAGCAAAGCTTTACAACGGGTCAGGTTCGTCACGCACTCCTGACCATTTATAAAACTTAACATATAAAAATGAACAGGAAAAGAAAAAAAGTGATTTTGTTTCACTTAGACAAAACAATAATACTGTAAACAAACATATACTGTATATATTATAATGCAGCGTGCATTATAATGAGACTTGTTTCATGTACATCCTTTAATTGAATTTTTGGTACTAGAAACAACAATAAAAAAGGCTACATGTCCTTTGTATTACAGGACAATTAAAGCACTACAACAGCTTCGGTTGCAGTGTTTACTTATGCTGTGCTGTACTTACAATGTACTGGAGGCCATATCTGTAGAGCACGTCCACCGCTGTCCTGTCTTCCTGAAGAATCCTTCACACAAACAACAAAAAACATTGAACATTAAGGAAGACTAAATGCAACAATAGAAACAAAACATTGGTTTCCTAAATTAAACTTTAGGAGTATCTAATGTTTTAGAACTTCATATAAGGAAAATCAAACTGTAAAACTTACGTGATAATGTTGCTAGGAATAATAGCACTGCCATTTGGATACACAAAATATGCCACTAAAACAGTGAATTCTGAAGCCCTGCAAAAAAATTCCAAATGGATTCAGTCAGATTTTATTTCTTAAAAATGAATAACCATGATTTATGTGGTTGATCTGTATAACTTAATTTTTCTGAAAAAAAAACGTATATTAAATGTCTTAACAATCCTCTAGAAAGCTAGACATCTTTGTAATTGTCAAGTACTACTTCTATTAAAAGGCCACCTACAAAGTCCCAAATATATATATATATTTTTAAAACTGTATGGTACAAAGTACTAAATATTAACATTATATAATAAAGTATTTGCATTGAATGATTTTACTCAATGGAGCATCTTAAATATTCATGTCAGAATCAGATTCGATCAAGTGTTCATAAAATTCCAGCTGCTGATACATTTCTTTTTATTTCAGTGTTCATAAACACTGCAATAACAGAATATACAGTACATGAATATATCTGAAACAAATTCAACTGCTTGTGGCGTCAACAAAAAGATTACAATCAATACCCTTGTTATCTGAGATCCTGCTTTTACTTTAGGAAGCAATCATGAAACTCAAAGTGTGCACAATCTTTACTGTGCTAGATTAGGAAATGAAGTATAACATAAATGTCTTTAATTCCCCCTAGCGTGATATATTTGCAGCAATACACACTCACCTTTGTGCCTGTTCTTTTGATTCAATTTTTACAATATGAACTGTTGCTTTTGTAGCTGAAACCATTACCCTGGAAGTAGAAAAACACCTTAAATATAATAGCAATGCGCAATATGGAACTTGAGATTTTGTTAACTTGTAAAGTAGATCATGAAAATCCCTCTATGCATAGTCTGAATTGTGCATGACAGTGAAATTATCCAAGCTTGTTCTCACTGTGGAGGAAAAATAACACATGAAATTTAAGCACAAACAAGGCCACTGTGTCACTGTACATAAATAGGAGAGCTCATGACCAGTTAAGGAATACAGTGTCACTTACATCTAGATGCTACTGATTCAAAGTGAGGTGCAATTCAGAGTTTAAAATCTTATACAACATTTTAGAGTATAAACATGTAATTAAATAAACTTGATTAATGCATAGCTGATTATAGAAATCAACAGTGCTGCCACTAGAGTTTGGTCTAAACAAAAAAAGCACCCATCCTAGAAATATCAATATCGATAACTGCGAAGGAGCCCTATTAATACAGTTTTTTCTTTCACCACCAGAGGGCTCTACCTATCACCTCATCTGTGAGACCTCTAAATGTTTTCGGAAATGTCAATAAGGCCTAACGCAAGAGTTCAGGAACATCCAGAGAAGTAAGTCAACCTATTTGGAAATACAGTGGATGTGGATTGCTTGTGCAATTTCATTAAGAAGCAGATACTACTGCTAAAAAAATCACTCGTACCCTTTAATTGTGTCAATGTTCGCATCAATTTCTTGTATTGATGACCTAAACTCCAACTGAACACGGAATGAACTGTCAACTGTGTACACCTGTAAAACAAAAATTAGACACCGAAACCCACTCAAAAAGACAAAAAATATTTTTGGATGCAAAATCTTTTCATTCTGTGCAATCTTAAAACAAACAAGACCAAAGCAAATCACACAAAAATTTGGTAGGTGGCTAGTTAATATTGTCAGCAGTTCAACATATGAATCAAATGTATTTACTGTAGTCAAAAACATGCATAGTCCATAATAATCATAACTGATATACTGTGCTAAATCGACTTGTCAGTATCCTCCAAATATGTATTAGAGATCTTAAAGACATCTGAGAGGACGTTAGAGGAAGGCCTGTCCTCTGTATAGTAGAAATGAAATCATACTGATTCAATTACGTCATAAACCCTGTTTCTGTACGTATTTGAACCATGGATTCAGTTTTGGCGATGTTTACACTTTTAAAATATTTGCAATATTTAGATAGGAATATGTGCATATATGAATTTACACCACTGGACATAGAAAATGTCACATCACAGAGTATATTATCAAAGCAAGGGACCTACGTCCAACTGAATGGAAGTGTTGAGGGATGGGACTCCTTTGTCTTTGGCCCCTACGGTTACTAAGTATCGTCCTTTTAAGTTAGTGTTCAAGGTGTTTGAAGTCCTAGAAACAAAATGTAATAGAGATTAAATCCCTGCTATAAAAGATTACAGAAAATAAAACATGAATTTGCGGTGTTTAACTGGTGTTGTAATGTTTTTGCTTTTGTGCTCTGAGAAACATGGCAATACCAAAATGTTAGAGAAGGGCAATTGGTTTACAACATAGAAGTGCTCAGGAATTAACACACCAATCTGTGAATCCAAGAAAATTAAATCATACTTTTCATGGTGAAGGCAAGAGTACATGGCTGGATCTGCTCTTAACAGACAGCAGTAATGCTGGTTAGTTGGTACACAAAGGTAATAAAAGGTTATAAATGAAAGCCTGTTTAGCCGATTTGGCAGTTAACTGATTCTGTACATCAACAAATTTACCTTATGATCCCAGCATAGTCTTCAATTTCTTTCACTGTGTCTGCATAGAAAAGATTGCTCATGGTTTCTTTATCCCCATTGCTGTGAATGAACTCCACTGTCAGAACGTCAAACACAATGACTTTGTTTTCTCCAGAGTCCCGATCTTTTGCCTGTTTAAACATTGGTACATACAACAGTAGCAGAGAGTGGGTAGTTTTTAAACTAGAGAAACAAAAAATAATTTGCATCTCTTTGATTATAAGGTGCAAGTGAGCTCACTTATAGAGAAAACCCCGTTCACAGTTTAGGCTTTTTACGCATTTGTCAATTATCAAAGTTTGTCGATAATTAATAGTAGTTAAAAAATAAAATAGTAGTTGAAAGTGATTATTAAACATTTAAGTGAAACTGTGTAATGGAAGATCAGGAACTAAAGTAAGGTACATGTGCAAACCTCAATTGTCAAGTAAAATCCTCAAATCAAACTAATAGATTCAGTTATGTCTTTTTTATGGAAGAATTATGTTAATGTGCAGTCTTTGCTTTCTTATCTATCAAAACTGCATGACTAAGGGTGAGGAAAAGCAACCAAAAATCAAAATACTTTTTAGTAAATGTGAGTATACAGTATAATTGTTGCCTTTTCCCAACACATTCTGAAAAACTATAGCAGGCTTTTGTAATTTTGTGCTGGGCTATGAAAAGGAAATACATTTTTAACAAAACTCTGTTACTCTGTCAATTCTGTTACTGTAACAAAGGTTAAAACTAAATTTTAAACAATAAACAACTTACAGTGACTCTGCCGACTTCGCTGTCCTTGGCAGCAACTTCTGGAACCACAACTGAAAGAGGACAAATATAAAACATGTTATTTTCTAAAAGATGGGTCTTACAATCCAGGGATTAAAACCATTTAAGACACTGTTATTTCCTGACATTTTACTCTCCCATCTTGAGATGGTGTTTTGCGGTTTCTGACATCACTCTTAAGTGGTTCTCCTCTTATCTTAATAATTGCTGACAGTTTTTTCTCTCTTGGGGGTTTCAGTTCTGAAGATTTTTTGGTTAAGTCTGATGTTCCTCTAGGCTTGATACTAATATTCAGCGTTTATATGTTCCCACTTGATCAGTTCTTGAAATCACATGATCTGAGTGATCTGAATTTCTCCGCTAATGATACTCCAATCTATATCCATTGAAGTGGCCGTACTGAGCTCTTTAGTTGCATCTCTGACATAAACACCTAAAACTGTTCTTCACTTAAACTGCAACATGTCTGGGGTCATGCTGCTCAGCCCCTCCCATTACCTACGTAAAGCCAATGCGTTAACCCTGTCTGTGGATGGCCCTGTGCCTGAATTTCAATCAAAACTGAACAATTTTAGGGGCAATATGTGATCCTGGCTAAAACTTAACTGTTATCTTTATGTAAAGATATAATTCTTGCTTCTCAGAAATATCGCCAGACTGTGTTGTCTTGCTGCCTTTGCAGCAGAAAAGCTGGTCAACAAATTTGTTTTTTCCCAGAACTGATTACTACAACGCCCTACTTACTGGGGTATCTAAATCCACACTGAACAAAGTCCAATAAGTCCAGAATCCGCCGTCCAGAATCCTGACCGGGTCATGTACAAGCGATCGCATTACACCTGTCTTGGAGTCCTTGCACTGGCTTCCTAACTGGTTTCAAGTCGGCTTCAAAATCCTCATGCTCACCTATAAGGCTCTATATGACTTAGTTCCCCAGTACATCTGTCTACTCCCCACCTCACTGTGGTCTTTTACATGCCCCTTAAGCATGTTTACATTCTATGGATGACAGAATCTATGCTATACCCCGAAGCTCTGGCATTCTATCCCCCTGGATAACAGAGAGTCACCTACCCTGTGGTAATTTTCTATAACTTTTTAAAATTTTAAACCTACCGTAAAAGACTTTTAGGTGCCACTTTTAAAGGCTCCATATAAATAAAATTATTATTATTGTTATTATTCAATAGCAGATCTGCATATTCTATTAAATATGTAAACTGTGTGTTTATATGCTGTTTATAATGCAAGATAAAGGAGCTAAAAGAGGACAAAGGTCTGAATTTCATCTTATCTTTGTGAGGGGAAATCAGTGCTGTAAGGAAATTCAGTACGTGCCTAAATACTTTACCTTCTGTATTTTCAGTCATTTTCTTTATATTATTGTACAGTACGTTTATGTATGTTTCATGTATATTTTCATTAACTTAAGTTAAAAATAGTTAAATAAGTGGGATGATATAGCGAGGAAATTTCAAAAGATGTTTTGGAATAGAAAGTCGTAGTTAGAATAATGAGACATGACAAAAAGGGGAAAAAAAATGGAAATATACCAAACAGCGTCTCCGATGAAATAAACTGAGGAGCATTGTCATTGATGTCAATAATGTGGATTTTCAGTATTCCTGCAATAAATAACAAAGTTTTATTGATGTGCATGTTAAAAAGATGGATCCAATTCTTGTCTTCTTAGTCGGCCGTTATAATTGATCCTACCAAGATTTTTTTACACAATGTAAATGACTAAATCTTTGCAGCAATTTGATTTATAATACTAAACAAGGTTGAGATGAGTCCACGAAGGTTCACTTATTAAAAACAAACCCCAGGCACTCTGAAACAACAGAACAAGAACGAGAACCCTTCCATCAATTCCCATTACCTGGGCTGCTGTGATTCACGCCTTTCTCTGTTAAGATATCCACCACCTGGATTTCCATCTGCACTTCATGGCACTGCTCATAGTCAATCACAAAATCATTATTCACCAACAGGGAGCCGCTCAGCTCCAGACGGAACCAGTCCTTTTCACAGTCGTCTGCCGAGACGTTCAAATTGCACAGGCACTTCACGGAGAGAAGGTGATAAACCAGCGAGTGCTTGGTGTCCTCATCAGTGCCGGTGATGTTCCTCACCACTCCCAGGCCAGTCGTATTCTCTTTTACACCCAAGTCTTTGAGGGATCCATCTTCAAACGTTGGTGGTTTATCATTTACATCCAATACTTTCACTTTCACTCTGGCACGGTCTTCCTGCAGACCAAGGTCTGTCGCCTCAACGGTAAGAGTGTAATTCTTCACTGCTTCGAAATTTAACTCAACGTCGGGGTCCACTGTGATATTTCCCCTGTAACGCTTGAGATCTTTGTCATAGAACGTGCGAATGATGAAATTTCCAAAGCTCCCATCAGTGATGCTGAATGAGATGCGGTTGTGAATTTCTGTTTGGTCAGCGTCCTGAGCAAACACCAAACCTACAAACGCACCTATGAAAGGAAAGGAAAAAGATAGAAGACAAAAATCTCCAAGTATCTCCAAAATATTCTCCAAACATTCTGGTTTATTCAACTGATCTGACTGAACCAGCAATCAGTAGCTATATCACCCTGTACCTCACAACTGGCAGCCCACAGAAGCTCAGCAGGTGTGAGCCTGGTCAGTACCTGGATGAGAGACTCCTGGGAAAGCTAAGGCTGCTGCTGGGAGAGGTGTTAGTGGAACCAGTAGGGGGCGCTCACCCTGCAGCCTGTGTGGGCCCTAATGCCCCAGTATAGTGCTGGAAACAAAAATCACTGTCCTACAGTTGAGACATAAAACTGAGGTCCTGACTCTCCATGGTCATTAAAAATCCCAGGGCATTTCTTGAAAAAAGCCGGGGTGTTACCCCGGCATCCTGGCCAAGTTTCCCTTTTGTCTTTACCAATCATAGCCTCCTAATAATCCCTGCCTATTAATTTTTCTTCATTAATCTGTTGTCTTCCCCACTGATAGCTGATGTGTGCTTCCTCTCATCATGCGGGTGGCAACAACACATTGGTGAAGGGGAGTCTCCAACTACTAACTCTTTGAATAGAGTGTCCAGAAAAGCACTATGTTAGGGTAAGGGATTATTGTATTGTTGTTGTTATTGATCAGTTTAAATACACCACAATTTCTGTTGAACAATACAATTGTACAGCATTCAGCACAGAAGAAAGTTATTGTGTTTTTAATCATCATTATTGTGATACAAAGACATTTTTCAGCATCTTTTAAGTGTTAAAAATAGTTTCTGCAGTTCACTGAAATTATACAATGATAGTCTAAGCAGAATTATTCATATTAAAGGAAATAGAACAGCAAGAAGGAAAAATATCATCCAGACTAACTTACCTTTCTCAGTTTCGTTTACTGAGAAATCATACGTATCTGGTGCAAACACTGGTTTGTTGTCATTGATATCCTAGGGAGAAAATATATTTACACATTTAACTTAAATAAGCATTTTCATTTGCTTAGTGGAAATTAGATGAGAAGTTTTATCAAACGTTTATGTTGTTACACAACTACAGTACATATTTCTACCGCAGTACGATGCTCTCATGAAGCAGATCCATAATAAAGCTGGCCATACGGATTGCTGCCTGGCTGCAAATGCGTTACTCTTATGTGGCTGTTGAACAGGAAGGCTTTACCTCAACATTGATGGTTACATTCACTGAGGAAGACATAGATGGGAACCCTAAATCGTAAGCTGTCACGATCAGTTTTATTGCCCCGTTCAATGAGGGGTCAATGGCTTCCCTATCCAAAGGGCCGTTGTTTTCCAGCATGCCTGTTTTTTCGTTGATGGTGAAGTTGTCACTGAATTCGCTCGGTTCTATTCTATAGCGGATCTCACTGTTGTTAGTCCCTGGCTCATCCTTATCAAAAGCCTAAAGATAAAACACAAAAAAAATTCAGTTACCTTGAGAGGCAATAAATTCCATGCAAAAGGTTTCCTGTTAAGCACCATCACTCCTTTGCATTATATATCATGACACTAGGACTATCGTCAGAAAATAAACATTTATGACAGGCAGTCCTGTTTTGACTATGACTCTAGTACACCCTGCTACAGAGGAGTAATATTCTAATCAAGTTAAACATTATTCAGGATAAAATCTGCCCATTTTCAGTGTATCTTATTTTGGGAGCTTTTTTGTTCAGGTTTTCTAAAGATTCCAATTAAAGCTTGAATCTGTAACACAAAGATGTTTGCTGATTACCATACTGATTTTTTTTTCATTTCTACAAAGAATCTATAATTACATTTTTTTGTGATCCAAGGTAGGTATTAGTTGGAAAACTAAAAGTAACAGCAATTATTGACCTGGATTTGAAGTTGTAAGTGTCCATCCTTTCCCTCCTCCACAAAGTCAATGTAATAATCCCTGGCCATCTCTGGTGTTTCATCATTCTCATCTATGAGGGTGATCTCCAGCACTGCAGTTCCTGTGTTGTTCGCGGTATCAATTGCTTGCAAAGTGGCAAAATAAATAGGACGTGTTTCCCTGTCGAGCAGCGTGGAATTCTTCACAAAAATGGTGCCGCTTTCTTTCCCAACTTCAAAATAAGGCAATCTGAAAAAACGGGAGATGGTTACTGGTACACTGAATTACCACAGCTCTTTGGTATATAGCATGTGTTTGCAGTATCTGAAAGCAGTATGCATGAGAATCACTTTATAGGTATAAGAGCAACCGATAGCTGCCATTTCAGCATTTTGAATAATACTCCCTTTTTAAAATTCTAAACTTTTCACCCTGACAAAACACAGATAGTAAGTATTCATTTTAAAGACAGTACTCACAGCACTTCCACATTCTTCTAACGAACCATATTATTACACAATTTTGTGCAATATTTTGTTGCACTAGATCGAACTTACATGCTGTCTGGTAGGAGCCTGTAGGTAATCTTGCCCTCATCTGCTGTGTCTGGATCTGAAGCCTGTAAAAAGAAAGAAAGACATTTGAAACAGAAGAATTATTTATCATTTCTCAGCACACAAATATCTCTACAGGAAATGTACAATAACACAACAGGCTGTGCCTTTTTGATTATTAGCTTCCCTGTTTTCAAAATCCCATGATCGTCTGACAACGGGCTATTTACTGTTTTACTCCATTTTAATACATTTTCTTTTTTCTGTTGTTGCAGTTCCTGCAGGAGGCACTATAACCTTCAACACTGTCAGACTACAGAAGCTAATCTAGACTAGACCATGTGATTGGGTGTCAAAGTACAGATGGAAAGCCATGAGAAAAGGCAATGATCCTCCCTCTGGACCACAAGATCGATAGCTCCTGCCCACACTGTGGGGGTTTAACATCCCATGTCACATTTTGCAGGAGCAAGAGGCACCTGAGTTATTCACAGTAACAAGGCATTAATCTAAATGCATATAAAGACCTCCTATTTTAATGGACTGAACATGTATTTTCCTGTTCAGTCTCTGTGCTCTTTTCACTAGAGGAGACGTTATACCTAATAGAAACTTTAATTCCATCATGACTCAGGCATGATGTTTGCAGACAAACTTACCAGGATAAGTGTACAATGCACAGCCATGTCATAAAATTCCCCAAATACCTTTGAGAACAATTTTTATACTGTAGTTCATCAGCAGCTTCTGCTGAACTCCCATCTGACCAAAGTCATTAATGAACCAGATAGTCATACTGATAGGAACACTGAGTTCAATTCACAGCCCTTAATATCCCAATGAATATAATGGAAGATATCAAATTAAACGACTCTACATTACTGGATTTCTTTCTACGGCTTCAGTCAAATTATGAACTCACCGTTATGGTCATCAGAGCTTTTCCATTTGGACTATTTTCATTCACTTGCAGCTGATAGGTTTCTTGTTTAAACTCTGGCCTGTTATCATTCATGTCGATAAGAGCAATAGTCACTGTGGCGGTGGAGCAATAGTAAGTCTCGTTTGCGACGTCACTGGCAACAATCTGGAAAATGTACATTTCAATTGGCTCCTGAGGCACACAGGCTGAATCAAAAACATTAAAGTATCACCACACATACAGGGTGACTTCCAGATAATTTTCCAAAACTACTACAAAAAAAAGTTTCCTCCATTCAACTTCCACATCTAAACTTTTACAAATCTTTGCCAAGCTGGTAGCGAATATTACACTGGGGTATAAAGCTTGGAAAATCAACCAAATAGATGCAATTGCTTTAAAAGTCCTTTAAAAACCTAAATATACATGCATACTTTTTTTGTAGTTCTTTAGAAGTCTGCTCAGGCTTTTTCTACAAAATACATAGAAGCAAAGTGGACAAAATACTTTACTAAAATTGGAAATACTCAAATAAACATTTTCCTTTCTTGAATTTTGTTGGGCTTTTTATTCATAGCAACACACATGATGTGGGAAAACAGAAAAGAATTATCTGACTTGTGGAATCAACTTTTTATATGCATGACCAAAAGAAAATTTCTGATGGTGTTCTGCAGCATCTGCAATCACTGCAGGGAGTATCTTGAAAGCCAGTCTTATCTCAAAGTCCTTTCAGATAAAAAGGGATAATTCTGACACTGGATGACACTCTGGGCCTCTAATCTGCTTAAAACCATAGTTACATGTGGGAACATCAAATCCCACTCACATACCTCCACTCTCATCATGGTTTTGCTCTCGTAGTTGACTTCACTAGGGCTCTTGACCAGAATCTGAACCTGGGCACTGCTCATGGCAGTGGTGGGTGAGACGGAAAATGCATCTTTGTCCTCTCCCTCCAGGCGCAAGTTGAATTTGGCATTGTTTCCCTAAAAGATACGAGATTGAAGAGTAATTGCACAGACCTGATACTGTCATCGTAAGTGCCAAAAAGTTGTTACAGATTGGACAACCACAATTCTGGGCATTAAAATGAGTTCTATGACTTTCTAATTATAATCAGGGTTGTGCTTTTCTTTGTAAATCGCAATACTACAACTCACTGTAATCAAATGCATCAAATTATCAAGTTTACAGGCTCTACAAGTTCTACAATTTCCATTACTGGGAATGACATTTCTTTTCAAATTATGCCAAAAAAACGTGTAAAATAATCACGCACGATCTGATCCCAGTTTATTATGATGTATTGCAAGTATATGTTCCGAAATTTGAAAAAAAAAAGAAAAACCTGACCTCATCCTGGTCCCGGACAGTAATGGTCATGTTGGCGACAGGGACACCTCCAGAGGCATGCTCTTGTATGTCACCAGTGAAACTGTTTGCTACAGAGCTGTCACTGAAGTCACATTCGCTCTCCATGCAGTTGTAAAACTTGGGCTTGTTGTCATTGATGTCCAGAATCTTGATGATGACTTCTGCAGATGTCATAGCATTTTGCCCATGAATGTTAGGGTTTTCCTCTTCGGCCTGAAATACACACGATTGGTATAAACTTGCTGAAATTTCCAACAATCTGCTGGAAATATTATTCAGGCAGGTGTTTATGGTTTAACCCATGTATTAGCTGACGATCTTACAAGCTTCACTTACAGAGCCAGGCATATGCATGACTTACCATGACCTGCAGATTGACAGTAGCAGTTATGTTCAATAATGCTTCCCTATCAATTTCACCCTTCACAGTTATAACACCATTGTTTCTGTCAATGTCAAACAATCCAGGGGCATTGGTCTCTGTAAAACCAATAGGGTAGAATCTCATTATCACATTTTCTGTACCATTGGCTTAACACTTCCTAACAATTTCTGAGTTTGAAATTTTTATCTGGTTTTTATGTGGTTTTCTTCCAGTGCTGTTTTTATTACCAACTCAGCCAATTGATCTGCACTTCCCCTAATTTTTGTCCTACATTTCATCTTCATTACACGCTTGTTAAATCATGAAAATCATGTCCTCAGTTTTGGATCACAGTCAAAAATGAAAAACAAAACACTTACCCTTAATGCTATAAAAGATTTTGTCTTTGATTCCTCTGTCACCATCCACAGCTTGTACTTTAAACACTGAGGTGCCCTAAAATGTAACAAACAAAAAGACTGTTATATAAAAAGTACCAATGGACATGTGAAAGCACTGTCCCTAATCTGTGATGACTGTGCAAAAAACCCTTCATGTCATATCTGCCATAACACACACAGAGCAAAATAAAAGATCCTCATCACAAATTAACCACCGTGTACTTTTTGAGATTTTCATTTAAACATAAACACCTGCTAGTTGCATCTAACTATATAGCAAAGGTAAATCAATAAATACAAACAGGAGAGAAAACATTAACTATAAATATGTCTGTGTTATTAGTAAGACCCAAAAAAGATTTTTTAAAGCAAGTTGTGGGTAGGTCCCATGAAATGATAAAGAACTGTAAATTTAGTTGAATTGTATTTTCCTAGAAATCTCTAAAAGAGAAATATTTTTTCTTTCTTTCATTGTTCTTCAGTTAAGCAGTTGTTACATGAAATCAAAGAACTACAGAGATGCTCACAAATGTCACTTTGTCACCCTTTACCCTTCTAATAACCAGTAAGTTAAGCAGAAAGAATCTGATATTTCCTGTTGATATCGAGTTTCATATGAGTAGATACTCACCACAGGAGTGTGTTCCTTCACAGAGGTCTGATAAGGCAGGTTTAAGAAGTCTGGATCCAGATCAGCGACATCCTCAATGGTAATGAAGGCAAATGCACTGGTGCTCTGAACAACAGCCTGACCATAAAGTTCACCTCCGCCATCCTTTTTAATACAAATAAAAAATATTAATAGTGTTGGAAAAGCATTTTTAAGATAACACTGTACGGCTACACAGGCCAAAGTGTAAATGAGGAATCATTTTTATTTCCTTTATTTTTATGGTTTCAATATGGAGGCTTAAATTTAAATAATAAATTATCAATCCATCCCTGCTTGTTTTCAGAGCTGTTGTGTATGGAAGGGGTTTTGGTCAACTAAGATGAAAGTAGGCCCCTCATCCTGGCCTGCAGAAATTAGTCTGAATGGAAGCACTACAGCGTCATAGATGCATTTCTATGATCAAATTCATACTATTTTATCATATCGAAGAAACACTGTATTTGCACCTTGATAGAGTTCTTACAAAACTTAACTTTATACCTGTGATCCTGACATTCTTTCCATTTGAGCTCTCAGTTACTTCATTGAACTATTAATTTTTTTTTAATTGTATACCCAATTATAGCTTTTGTGTTCATGAGGAGACCTTGAAGTATTTTAAAACGTCAACAGTCTCAGAAGTAAAACTAATCTAAAAATGTAAACTAGTAAGCAATGACAGGTGAAGAACAGCTCAATTAACACAATACCAACAGTTGGGAGATAATTGTTTGGCCAGCGGCGTGATAAACAACTGGACCCTATGCGGAGCGTTAAGTTCCGATCCGAGAGCAGACTATCCGATAAGGGCAGAGCAGAAGGCTAAATCCCAAATTCTAGGCTGAGGTCGAGAATCCAGGAAATCGTGCAACGAGTAAACTGAGCTGGCAGCAAGCCGACAAGTCAGGGACTCTAATACCGAGCGTGGAAAAGTGAGACGAGAGGGTTTAAATAGCGGAGAGCTGAGACGCGATTGGAAAATGAGGTAATTGGCGAGGACACATGTGGAATGTGTTTGTGACATCAATCATTTGAAGGAAAGATATCTTGGCCAACATGGCTTGGACTGTAAAGCCCAGCACAATGACCAAAATATGCATGGGTGATAATATCTAGATTTATTTAGTTACATTTGGCAGACTTAGAAATCACAGTAGTTTTCATTCAATTGACTGGCACGATAATTCTTTCTGACCTTACCGATGCATTAATTGTTAGCTGATAGAAAGTACTTTTGTTGGCATAGTTCAAAAATCCATTCAGTAGGACTTCACCAGATCTGTTTATTTTAAACAGAGATGAATCATCCGGCACAACCTATGGGAAAAAACAGTAAAAAGAATTTAAAATATTATATACTCATACATACAGTAAAAGATATAGAAGCTTACAGGTTGGCAAATTTTAATGATGGGATTTCAATATTTAATCACATCCATACCTCATCAATACTGTAGCTCACGACACCTGCCAGCCCACTGTCTTCATCTGTGGCTGTGACTTTAAATAATATCGTACCTAATGCTGTATTCTGGGCAAGAGAAAAAGAAAGAAAATTTTCACTCAGTTTTTTTTTACCCAACATGCTGAAAAATAATAACATTCCACTGAAATGGTATTTCTACGTAAACCTTCTGAATGAAAATCTAAGTACTGTATAATAATCTAAGTACTGTATAATACTTGTAGCAGAAATGCTTATTAATAACCCACAGAATTAGGTGTTGACATGGATTTTCAGTGAGGTCCCTTCTTTGGTCTTAGCCACAGAATAGGCTGTTCATCCTTGTGTGCTGGTCTGCAGGGAAGATGAGCTGGTTTGATAAGGAGCATCTCTCAAGACAGTGATATGACTCAGATCAGTGCTTCCCATGACGCAATCCCACTGCTCACACCTGAATGCCTAGCAGAGAGCTATAGGCGCATCTGGATGATGGTCTTAAAAGCTATGACCAACCAAGCAGGGACCTATAGGGCAAGAAGACTCACTCCACCAGGTGACTGCTTGGCCATTCACCAACCATATTTTCCCCAGTTACAAAGCATTGCACATCCCATCTATCACTTCTCTCCACTGAACCACATTGGCTGCCTGACACCATCAACAAGTTAATGGTTAATATTGTTGCCTAAAGGCTAGGGAC